TTAATAACACAGTGGATATGTCAGTGTTTATAGGACAGTGTTATCAGTTTGATACTGAGAGTGGTATCAATTGAGCTTAATAACACAGTGGATATGTCAGTGTTTATAGGACAGTGTTATCAGTTTGATACTGAGAGTGGTATCAATTGAGCTTAATAACACAGTGGATATGTCAGTGTTTATAGGACAGTGTTATCAGTTTGATACTGAGAGTGGTATCAATTGAGCTTAATAACACTGTGGATATGTCAGTGTTTATAGGACAGTGTTATCAGTTTGATACTGAGAGTGGTATCAATTGAGCTTAATAACACAGTGGATATGTCAGTGTTTATAGGACAGTGTTATCAGTTTGATACTGAGAGTGGTATCAATTGAGCTTAATAACACAGTGGATATGTCAGTGTTTATAGGACAGTGTTATCAGTTTGATACTGAGAGTGGTATCAATTGAGCTTAATAACACAGTGGATATGTCAGTGTTTATAGGACAGTGTTATCAGTTTGATACTGAGAGTGGTATCAATTGAGCTTAATAACACTGTGGATATGTCAGTGTTTATAGGACAGTGTTATCAGTTTGATACTGAGAGTGGTATCAATTGAGCTTAATAACACTGTGGATATGTCAGTGTTTATAGGACAGTGTTATCAGTTTGATACTGAGAGTGGTATCAATTGAGCTTAATAACAGTGGATATGTCAGTGTTTATAGGACAGTGTTATCAGTTTAGTATTGATACAGTGATATCACTTAAGTCTTATTATTCCCTTTTATTCCCTATAGTTATGATATAACTCCCTCTTCCATATAAACTACACATCTCCCTTCCCCATAATTTCATTAGAACCTCCTCTTCACAACTAATGGCTTACCTCCCTGTCTAATAATTTCAATAGAACCCCCTCTTCATAATTAATGACCTACCTCCCTTCCTCATAGTTACAATAAAACTCTCTCTTCCATATAAACTACTTACCTCCCTGTCTAATAATTTCAATATTACACTCTCTTCCATATAAATGACTCACCTCCCTTCCTCATAGTTACAATATAACTCCCTCTACAATATTAATGACTTATCTCCCTTCCTCATAGTTAAATTATAACTCCCTCTACAATATTAATGACTTATCTCCCTTCCTCATAGTTACAATATAACTCCCTCTTTCAGATAAACAACTCAACTCCCTTCCTTATAGTTTCAATATAACTCCCTCTACAATATTAATGACTTATCTCCCTTCCTCATAGTTAAATTATAACTCCCTCTACAATATTAATGACTTATCTCCCTTCCTCATAGTTAAATTATAACTCCCTCTACAATATTAATGACTTATCTCCCTTCCTCATAGTTAAATTATAACTCCCTCTTTCAGATAAACAACTCACCTCCCTTCCTTATAGTTTCAATATAACTCCCTCTACAATATTAATGACTTATCTCCCTTCCTTATAGTTAAATTATAACTCCCTCTACAATATTAATGACTTACCGTCTTCCTCCCCCAAAGTTACATGATAATCTTCCACACACAACCATGTAATAATGTATCCTGTTGTTATATCATTGAAGCCCTTTGATGTGTTTACTTACCTTCTGAGATGTGGCAATAGCTGGTAGCCATTTCTTGACCACTGACTTCCATGATGAATGTCCCCTGGACCTTTCCCTGACTGTAGCCATTGAATTTCCGATCTTGGAGACTGGGTTACTGAGTTCAGTCCCTACTGGAAATGATCCGGACCTTGTAAGACCTTATACATATCACTGACTACAGTTAGACTGACATTCAATGCAAAATTGAGAAAACTTGTCAGCCGGAGTAACAATCTACTGACATCAATTACCTATACACACCGTCACTTAACTCATTCCTACACACAAAATCCAATAAGGTTTTTTCACTACCTTTAACACAAATGTGATCAGATTTTAATAAATAACCCAAAAGGATTGGGTTTTAAAATATAGCGTCAGCAAATAAGTGCCAAATAATTATTTTATGGGTGGACAACGCTACAAATTACTTAAAAATGCTAAACTAATCCACCATAAAAATTCTGTAATTGAGTCATTTAAACAAATCGTAGGTAACAATCACAGATACAAATTACAGGTATATCCAACCACTGGTAAAATAACAAGTAAACTATGTTTGTGTTAACATACATCCCTATTTATTGTCTATAATAGATTTCTCAAATTCCTTTTTGGCTGAAAAATGACATGAGTGATAGGTAAATGTAATACAAAGAGTTCTCTTTGTAATTAAATCAATCCGTTGTCGATTTAAGACTCGGTCAACACGGAATCTACAATACAAATACGTCAACTACCGCATATAAACTACATCATTTGTTTGTTCAAGTTAAAATAGATGCTAATGTATCAGAAAAAATAAATAAATACTAGGCAGACTAATGAAAGTGTGTCGTATCAAACCGGGAAAACATCTGTGTCAAACATGAACAAATCAATACCTGTCTTTTTTTTTCAAAAGATAACTTAAAATCTAGCAAACCTGTTTTGTGTTTTTGTCTAGTGCATTATTTAATGGGTTAACTGTTAATCAAAATATCGAAGTACTTACCTTATATTTCCCCAGTCTTTTGTCCATTGCGTTCCTTGAAGCTCTCATCGTTTCCGCCACCCGACACCGTAACCAAGGTGACGAGATCGCCGATGTTATTTACAAGATACACAGATCAAAGAAGCAACAAAACTTAATGATTGGTTGATAAAAAAAAACTTTAATTGCTAATACAATCATTTTCAGTCGGGGACTCCATGTTAATCAATGGTAAACAGCACGGTCTCCATCCTCTACAGACCAAGCACTGCTTCTGCTGCATGTCACGTCTAGTGAAGTATTTGTAAATGAGACTTCAAAAACCAGTCCAATAATTTGCTATTCCTAAATTTACTTGTGACCGGTGTCTGTCATACCAAAGGCCAGTTGTAGCCGTTGGTATTGGCGCACGTTTTAATGAGTTAAATAAACTTGTGTAATATTTCGGTTGACATTTAATTGTTTCAATGGTAGAATTAATAACCATGGCCGTTTGTGTTGTACATTTGTAAGCCGCGCATTTTTCTACTGATTGCCCGCAATACTGACATAGGATTTTTTTTTCGATTGTTCTGTACCAAAATGATGCATCATGGTTATCTGTAACCGACTAGACTTTCCTTTCACATATATATATATATAAGAGAGAAAAGTATATATATAAATATATATGTATTTCAATATTTTCCTTCTCGACAGACAGACGACTCGCTGTAAAAGAGTATGATGGACAACATAGACAAGAAAGAAAAGACAAATTACCTAAGGACTGCAATGTGACTTCATGCCATAACTTCATGTCGTCATATGCATGATGACGTCACCAGAAAGAGAGACAGAGTAAAGACATAATATCCGATTTAGATTTTGTAATTTCTTAAATAACATAAACAGGAACCTGAACTTTGAGTTTCCGGAAAAAACAACTATTTTTATCACATTAAAATGTTTTGACGATATCCAAAGTTTGTTTATCTCAGTGGAGGAGGTTTTTCTTTCGATGATAGCATCTTGAGAGATTTCATTAATTAATCCAATCATTAAAATACTCCGGATACTGTGAAAACATTGTAAAAGCAAACTTATTCTTATTCTAAAAAAATCCTGACCTCGGGTATTTGTGATAAAATGCTGTTTTCACGAAAGTCTACAAAAGCATCCTAGTTATATGATAAACAGTCTCACATCTATTTTGATTTCATAACAGATTCATACATCATGTCACGATTTTTTTTTATTTTATAGAGCCAAAGACTGTAAAATGACGAGTCAGGAGACTTGTATATCTCATTGCTCTGTTAAAGTCAAACATCTTGTTTGATTGGTGAGAGAGCTGGGTGGTACTTATGTTGTTCATCCAGGTTTCGTCTCGCTGACGATTGCCAGTGTTCTATCGGAGAGAACGTTATAGTGTCCCAGTGGATGTTGAATTAACGGTAATACCGTATATGACCTGATAAGGGCGCAGGGCGCGGTAATTGTAGGCGAGGGCGCTCTTAATAAGACTTAAAATTCGGAGATTTATAAAACAGAATATAGGTGATATGTATGCAACAGACAGTTTCCAGTTCAACTGAGAGTAAGTTGGAATTTGAAACAGACTATAGTGGAATTCCCGCGAAACCGTTTGGTGTTATTTATAGACTAAGTCTAGACATAATATTATTACGTGAAAGTGTTTATGAAAGCCATTCAATCAAAAACTTTGAAAATTTACGTTGACGTTGCCAAGGCTGTTTCTCGATAATACAAGTGCAGGTGTGCACAATGCGAATATTGTACTTTCCAAGAGTAGTACTAGCGGCTCAGACAGTAATATGGACTAGCCCTAGACATTGAAATCAGACCTGCTTTTAATGTTCACAGTTCAGTCATAGTAATCCTCAGCATAGGCCTATTTATATATTCTGAGTAGAAATGTAGGTGTAGTTTTTTTTATCAACTAGACACTCGGCAAAGAAATTTTCCTGAAAAAGGGCACGGGCGCCCTTATTGAGGCAAGCGCCCTGAAAAGGTCATATACGGTACTTCATCTCTTCCCGATCTATATTGATTGAATAATTCCATACCTATAAGTCTTTGATAATTAATAAAACAGTGTTAATCTGTTTCATTACTGGATAAAGCTAAAAAGTTGCATCGTCCCAGTCTGTGGAGCTTCTAATGGTACTATCGTGTCACATGGATGGTTCACTTGTCCTTTTTGATATTCCGTGACAAGGTATAGGATTCTATTGATGCTATCACCATAAATCCAGCGTATGACAGCTAATGTATGTACATCTATTATTAACGAAAATATATGTTCTCTTTATTGAAAAGTAATCACTAACCATCCCTCTTTCGAAACGCTACATGTGAAGAACTGTATTTGGAATTATGAAATGAACAATATTTAGATAAAAAAAAACTCTGAGCAAATATTGAAATATTTCATATGGTTTAATGTTATATTTACATTGGTTGTGAAAACATAATGAGATATGTATGGAGTGAACTACATGAATAATGTTGATATCTACATACAAATTAGTTATCCTACAAAAAACATTTCTCTTCCATTTTTAGTTAAGTCACAATAAAAATCAAGAATCGTTGTAAAACAAACTTTAAATGATATCACAATTAACTTAGCTACAAGCACAGGGACTTGACACTTATTTCCAACACCGTAGTTCATATATAATACCTTATAATACACATTGGGTTGTAAATTTCTTCCAATCCCCTTTGGCTACAAGTACACACACACATTTATGTCATAGAAGACGGGTTTTTGGCTCGCACGCCTCGTATCGATTCTATTGTATCACAGTCCTATGAGTGTTGTGAGCACACAGTCTAGGGCATTGACTGGGCTTATGGAAGGTCCATGCTTCAGATAAATTCATATTTCAGGAATTTCGTTCACGAGAAACAGTATTCTGAACTCATTACATGTATTTCTTCTTCATTTTTTACGATATGTTTGCTGTTATTCCTGTATAAATTAAGTGGTTCCTGATGAACGTGGTGCTTGGTGATCGATGGATGTTATCGATCTTGATGGAACTCGATGCAATGGCTGGCTACAGCGGATATAGCACCAAACAAAACATGATTAGAGTCGATACCAACATGGCTGGGTGCTCCCAATAAACATGCCCTGAACGTTGTCCATTCGTCGTGTCCATCAATTTATCAAAAAAGAAACAGTGTTTTTGTGCTATCGTACTGACCTTGTATGACCTACTCTTACAGAAGTCACTGCCATTCGTATACAGCTGGTTTACTTTAGAGCCTTTCAGAATGGCCGACCCACAAGCTCCGTACCAGGCGTCACAGAATTCCTCACACACATCTAAGTAACCCCACATATAAAACATGTTCTGGTAGGGGGCACATATGTAGCACATCAAGTAATTTGTGTACTGTTGGCAGGCTTGGGACGCCCCAGGAAGGCTCTTTACTTGTCCAAACGTCTCCGCGATCTCCTCTTGCATGCAACAACTGTTTTCCTTAAACCATGTACAGTTCTTTAGATTTGGCTGGGGCTTTGGTGCACGGTTGTTGAAGAAAGAGCAGAATTCTTTCACCTCTGCAGTCGAGCATTTGGTCAGAACCAATAAAATGGTGAAAGTCGCTAAATATCCGAACATCCTGCCGTTCGTCAGGTCACCATTGGGTACAGCACACCGATCTCTCAGCGACAGCAGTCTCAAAGAACAAACAGCGTGGTTAGTCGATTTTTCGAAATCACTAGAAAAGTAAAATCATGCGGAAGTTAGTTCAAAATGAAACGGTCTCTCTCTTTTATGGTAACTACGACGAACCAAATGCAAATGACTCGGTTTAGCTCTAAACACGATCTCCGGTCTTTAAGTGAAGATATCGTCCAAAAAGTACATTGGTTTATGAGCATAACATTAGAACTCTGTAATACACGCTGGTACATACTGTTATACATAATCGTAAAACGAAAGAGGCTACTTACGTGAATTGTTCACTTGCAAACGTTTGTGGAGTTGTGTTTTAAAGACTTCCCATTCTGTATAATATATTTGGGACCGCGTCATATTTTTTATTACATTGGCTAGCGCTATTCATTTCAGCATTTTTCACTGTATACTACAAATCGTATGTACGTAACATTCATCAAAAATTTAGTGTAGAATCACACATAATTATTGAGATATTCTCTAAGATGTTGTTAAAATTAAGTTATTCAAAAAATAGTTACCATGACTTTGTGCATAAAGTATTGATATATGATTAGTTGAAACTCGCTATTTGTAAACACACCTTCATTTTAAACACGCCGCCATCGAAATTACGATTGTTGCCGAACCACGTCGGAAAGTTCATGACCTGATCTCGCGAGAGTTGAGGTTTCTACTTATAGAAGAAGCACATGCAGATATGTCTACGGTAAGTTTTTGTTTACAAACATTGTTTGCAAAGTCTTGTCGTAGACTTGAGGTATTACTGTGATAAACCTTCAGTTTTTGGGAAATTATTAGAAGGAATAATTAGTTTAGAAACGATATGACGCACAATTATAACGTAAGAATTCAGAACTGGCCTGATGTATGATTGAAAAAAAGGAAGCGACTGGTGAACGTCTTTACTGTGTCTGCCATGTTTACACACGCGGAATATGCGCATGCGCAATGTCATCGCTACGAGCGGTAATGTATGAATTATTGTGGGTCCCACATTGTTTATTTTCCGATTTTTTCAATTTTTATTTAAATTGAAAACAGTCAGTTTTATTTTCCTTAATTAAAGGAAAGTATTTGTTTTGTTACATATATTACGGGGAAAATAAGATAAAGTTTGTTTTTTATAGTGATTTTTACGTATATTGGGGCTTTAAGCATGTATTATGTGTAACGTTGACGTGTCCAGATTGAGCCGCGAAATCATTATTTTGTTTGCCCAAGAAATTATACGAGTATACAATATACTTATGTCTTAAAAATATAGATTATCCACAAACAACTAAACCGTTATTGAATACAAGTCCTGTTGATTTCGTCCTTCTCTTGTCGCTTTAGTTTTGAACAATTGTAGAATATGGCTATGTGTCACACCCCTGTCTGTTGTTTACAGTTTTAAGCGATGCTCTCAGGTCAAACGTACGGTCCTAGAAAAATGCGCGACATCACGTGATATGGGCCTAGAGTAAGTGTTGGAAATATATTTGTTCTTTTTGCCTTTTTAGTACAAATGTAACCAGCAGAAAAAAACAACAGAGTCTCTGCTTCAGTCTTTCAGTCTTATTCTTCCTTATTTTAGATACAGACGAAAGGCATTCGTCCTAGGTAAGGTAGACGAGACATAATCACATAATCCTTCTTCGCTATACGACAAATCTCATTGAGAAGAACACCGTCAGCTGTCAGATCTCGAACTGCAAGATCGACCACAAAGAAACTGATTTGAAATTTGACTGGTTGACACAGTTCGTTTTATTCCGTGAATAAACTTTAAATCTTTTACCTAAATTCGTTGGTAATATATACTGAGCCTATCAGTAGAATATAATACGTTTATACCAACTAATAATAATTAATATCATTGGTATACAAGTAGTGTTAACATATAGTGTACATTTGGATCACGTGGCTGTCATGTGACATAGAAAATATCGATATCGCATTATATCAATAAAATTCCAGGGAACAAATAATAACAAGGAAATACACCATATTAATCGATATGAATACTAACTAAGCATAAATACATTGAGAGTTTCTGCTTATAAACTTTGAATTTCATTGGCCTTCGATGCTGGCCTTGCTGGTATGTTGTGGGCTATTTGAGGCCCATATCAAAGGATATCGCATTTTCTGTGCTTATCATTTAAAGCAGAGATACTAGTATACTAATTTGTGTGGTTGTGGGGGTGGGTGGTGGTGGTGGTGGTGGTGGTGGTGTCACAAAATAGAAATATTTCTTGTTCAGATTCGTGGGCTTTGTCCTGTCTTTTTTACCGTTCAGACGAAACTGCATGTGAACAAGATTGTAGACCGTACAATTTGGAAAATATTTAACTTCATAATAGTAAAAATGATGCCGATATTTGATGGCTAATACTATTTTAATGCGAATGTATCATCGGCCATGTATGGAAATTGATTTAAATGTCATAGTTTAAGAAGCTGGATTTAAACTCATAGTGCTATCTAAATCAATCCATAGTGTTTTCCATATTTAAAAAAAGCAATAGCTAAGATAATATAATCGAAATTCATGGCTTTTACTTTTTAGTAACCATGACAGCAACATCAACAACAATTTCTAGTTTAATCGACTGGAAAAATGAAGAAAACCCCATCATATCCTTCCAGTTAATTATGTAGGGGGAATCTCGTACAAGTTTGAAGTTTACATAATCCGATCTTTAGAGCACTATAATTATGATATCAAACAATGGTAAACAATGAGATCTTTATCTCTACAATGTTTTCTTCATCATTCATATTTATGGATTAAAATTACGACTAAACAGGACGTTTGGCGAATGTTTTCTTTCAAAGGAAAGCAAAAAAACTTACAACACCCCTTCCCTTCAATCACAGAGAGACGTGTTGTGTGAGGGAAACTGATTCATGGTTTCCAATTTTACAAGGAACATATACATGTACTATACAACACCCCTTCCTTCAATCACAGAGAGACGTGTTGTGTAAGGGAAATTTATTTGGTTTCCAATTTTACAAGGAACACATACTTTCTCTCATTTCCACCTGTGTCAGATAGGCCTGTCCAGGGTAATAAACATGGTCATGATTATAAGACTAAGGGTGAAATATCCCTATCCTACATACCCATATAGAAAAGAGTTTTTTTCTCTCATTTCTAATCTCATATTATCAAATATTTGCACTCACCTCGCGGCAGCCATCACTGGACGCCGCCATTTTGCAGATTTCTATTTTTTTTCCTTAGGCCATATACATAAAAAAAAATGCTGAAATAGATTCTCCATCTCCGAATTTTGCAAACTACGTTTGCGGTCGAAAACATAATATGGACTTTGAATGTAAACATCCAACGTCAGTGTTTAACTGTTTTTTCTTCAAGCGGGCTGGGTCAAATACTATCACCCAGAGACATGCGTACGCGTTCAAATATAGTGCCTTAAAACACGCAATAAAACAACTTTTCTTTTTAATATTTACTATTGCTCAATTTATAATATATCATAAACATTTTTTACATCTTTGAACATGTTGGTCAAGTTATTAATACTACTTCACTGTCAATAGTAATCTTACAAATCATACACATTTATGAATGGGAATTCTTAGTTTGCTTGTGAGATGACGTCACTTACGTCACACATTTCGCGCCACATCGACAGAAGGATAGTTAGTCACTGTCACTTTCAATCACACGTGGACGACGGCGGAAAGGCTGAGTCCCAGGGTTGGTGATGTTGATATTTATAGAACAGTTTTGTAAATACGAGTCTGCAAACAATGACTCCAATCGACTATGCGTGTTTGTGGATGAAGCGGTTGACGAGGACAAAGTCGACGAGTGCGCGGGAAAAAAACTATGAATTACTCCGCGCGCGAGGCTTTATTACACAGGCGCCTGTCCTTGTTTTGTTCTTCTTTATCTGCCATCATGGTGTATGATTGTATGTGCATGACTTACTTACCTATGGAAACTTTGTTATTTCAACTTATAAAAATCACACTTGTTGTAAGCAAGAGAGGGGTCTAACTTTGGGAGGAAACCTGTATCCTTTCTATCCCTTCGGGCAATTGAACCCCGAATGGCTAGGAAATAGACAAGTGTTGTACAACTGTGCCACCAAACCACCGCCTGATCATGGTGATACAATGTTTTCTAGAAGAAGAAGATGTGTTGCTGCTGCTGCTGCTGATGATGATGATATATTGGTACATTTGTATGTGTTGATGTTTTGTTCAAATCTTGCAAAATATACAACAAATAAAAAAATAAAACCATGCTTCAGTGCAAACATGATCCCGAACATTAAACCGGAGATCAGGTACATCGGAGCACAATCGAGCTCAAATCTTAAATGGTTAAACTTGCAATTTGTTATATACGTTTCAAACCATTAAAGTATATGTTTGTTAAATTCATCTGATATATTTAGGATTTTTAGTATGATTTCATTTCTACATGAGAGCTTAAAACGATATTTTGTTGGTCAAAATAATTTTTAACCCATTCAACGGGTCGGCAGTTCTCATTGCGTGCTGCGGCAAAGGTATTGTGGGTAATGAAGTTCCTGCCACACTTCCGTTTAAAGTTGATGGTATGGGCAGGTTATTGGAGTTGAATTATCACACACACACACACACACACACACACACACAATACCATAAAGCGCTCGCTAATATCCCTATCCTACATACCCATATAGAAAAGAGTCTTATAATACAACACCCCTTGTGTGAGAGAAATTGATTCACGGTTACCAATTGTACAAGGAACACATACTATACTCAAGTGCAATTTCGAAAGGTAACTCAAATCTATTGATATATACATTTACAGAAAAATGATCAAATTCGGAAAACTTGTGATTGGTAAAGCATAAGCGCTTTTATATTGAATCTTCAGACGTTTTACAATAAGTTTTGCTACCTCAGTACTCCTACATGTTTGCCTGTATGATAGCACAACATGACGTCATCAGTAATAACTTG